ATCAAACTGCCCTTCTGTATTTTCAGTATTTGCTGAACTTCATCTGAATACATAACATCAATGCCATTCATTGTCTTCAAACTGCTTTGAATATTACATTGCTGAGCCGGTGCAATAGCAACACCGGACATCCGCATGCTCAGGGTGTTTGTACTGCCCATGGGAATAGAGCCAGGCCCTTCCAGCAGCCTCACATGGGAGTAGCTGTAGGAAGGCCCTGTCTTGAGACCATCCACTTTATATTTTGCTTTGTAGAAGCATCTTGGGAGGTCAGCCACACTAAGACAAGCCACGTGATACTGAACTGCAAAGCTGTGACAATCATTTGACATTCCTCATAATTAGAAAATATAGTTTAATTTTAAAATGTCATTTTTTTAAACAAAAACATTTTTCACTTATTTACGACTTTGCTCTGAAGTTCTAGAAGCATCAGCTTAAACTTTACATGATTACAGTGACTTCACAGGGTTTTGTCCATCATCTTTTTGTACACCTACAACTTCATTGCTGGGATCAACACTTCCATTTTACCCTTTAGAAGCCTGTTCTAAAACATTAAAACATAACAAATAAAAACAAAGCTGTTACGTCCCCACTCTTAGGGACTACTGCATACTACTATGAAGGCAGAAATAGGCTGAATGCTTCTCAAATAGGAACGTCATAGTGGAGTTTCTAAGCAGTCAATTGAAACAAATTTAGCTTTATTCTCAATCAAAATGAAACATTCATAATTTTTTCCCATAAAAAGTCCAATGCTTTGTTTTTCCAAAGTGCAAAAACGAATTCATAAACGAAACATTTCACAGCATTTCAGTAGAGGTACCTATTATTGCAACTTGTATTGGTAAATATTGCAAGTAACAATAAGACAAAGTATTATATCCCACATATTTTTGAAACGGAATTTATAATTTCAAAATGACAGCACTAGGATTTTTAAAAGACAGCATGGCAAACATTTTTGAAAAATATCCTTGACCACCTCTGCTCTTGAGCACCACGGCAGACTTAAAGCTGAACATGAACAAAGCAACCACCTGCCAATTCTGGTCTCCATAAAGTGTCGAGGGAAAGACATCAATTCATGTTAAAGGTAATATGGAATTCAGAGTCAGTGTTGGGACTACAAAACCATAAAAGTAAGCCTGTAGTATTTACACAGCTGTGAGTTCAGGTCCAACTTTTTATAAAACTTACTTATTTTAAACAAAAGAAATACTCATGGGATCTGGTTGCCATTCTGAGGCAAGTATATCATCATCTTAGATCTTCAAATTGAGACTAGATCTAAGTAAAAATACTGCATTTTTACGCTGTTAGAAGAAGGGAAACACTAATAAAATGCTTGACTGTCAGGCAGTTTTCTCCTTCCCATGAACAAGTACACAAAAAATTTGGGTAACACTGAAAAATGGTTATAGTTCTACAAATTAAACCATGTCATTACTTCTCCTGTCCTTTGCATACTATGACTTTTTAACTATGACTTTTGCAGTTCGGATGATACTTGTTGAAGAAACTGCATCAACAAAAGACAATTGAACAGCTCCTTCAAGTAAGACGTAATTTCAGCCGTTTTAGCTTAAAGCGCATTAAGGCTCTACAGCAATAATGCAGATAATTGAGAAATGTTTCTTCTGCTTACATTCAGTGCATTCTTGCACATAGATCTTTCAAGAAGATTACAGGACCTGTAACAAGGTTTTAAATGACATGCATACAACAGGAGGAAACTACATACCTGTTGCAATAGCTTAATACAAGTCTTTGAACTATGGGAAAGCTAAGACAAGGCATGCTCCTGTATTATCGAGAGAACTCTCCAAGAGCAGTAGAATGTGGTCCCTTTGCTGCCCAAACAGGGAATACCGAGGAGGTGGAATTTCTGAACAGAGCGGTGTGCAGGTGTTGCTTTGCCCTTCCTTTGCCGATAGTCTCTCACATTCCTATTTTACTTTACCTGGGACACAAAAGCAGAGCTTCATTAGCATACATTTACAAATGCAGCCTCATTTCTCTCTAAGTACCAAAGCCTTCCTAATCATTTTCCTTTGATAACAGTTCACCACCAAAATAAAATGAACCAGAGATGACAAGTTAGTATTCTACTATTTCTTTAGTTTCAGCACAAAAAAACCACATAACTGTTTAGGCCCATTTTTCTTTTTATTAATAATATAAGGTTCTATAATCTCTTAACATTACAACTGAAGTTTTACAGTTAATCTCACACTAAAATGACAAACACTGTTTGGCTTTATTTGCAGAAAGTTTAATTACAACCTTGATGAACAGACATTTCCAAGATTGAGAAGCAATTTGTGTTTTCTGGATTTCAGTGCTAGTGTATCCCTGCCTTTGAAATTGGTTTCAGTTTATTAACATTGCTACAGAAGAACTATTTGGCCTGGCCTCTGTTCACAGCTGTAAGGCAAAGATGACATCTCTAACTCAACCAACATACTCTGAGTCAAGAGGAGACATGTTTTTCTTTGACTGCAAAATTTAGACCCCAAAGCAATTTCTATCAAATTTTCTTCTTTCTCCTCAAAACTTTTATTGAAAAATGTCTAATGTAAATACAATTCACAGCCAAGCCCTACTTGGTCTGCACCTTTCCTCCTTCAAAGAGAGCAGAGGCTGTGTAATTGGAAGTCATGACAAGCTTAATTAAAACTGCTTGTAACTTGCATATGGCCAAAATAGTGAGGCAACTGAAAAAGCAATCGGTTATGCCAAGATACACTTCTGATCTGTGTGGATCAAACTCCATCTCCGAACAGCTATGGGAAGCAAAGTCTTAAAAAGAAAAAGAGTAGAGAATACAGAAGGAAGAGTGGTGGAAGACTTTAATATTAGAGAAGGGAATATTTCTTTTAAGCGGGTAATGAACTGTGTGTATCATGGTCTCCTGAACTTACATTACACTTTTCTCTGTTATCATTAGGAACTTGGAAGTGAAACTGAAGTCAGTAATACTGCATTTCAACTGCAGTTTCACTAAGCTTTGACCAGTTCACAAGATAGAAAGATACTGGGAAAGACAGCAATAGGGTGGCCATTAGAAAAAAAAAATCCATTACATTTATAGTTAGAGCTATCCAGTGACATTGCTTTGGGACCCTTAGAGCCTGTTATTCCACCTTCCCATAGGACGGTTGACACGCAGTAAAAAAATCTTTACTGCATTTTCAATCACTTCAGAAGCCAGTGGTTATTTAAAGGTTAGAAACAGAGAGTATATGGAGTTTCTGCCTGGTTAATGTCAATATGAAAAAGGGATGGGAAAACCATGGGCAGAAAATTAAGAATTAGGAAGGATGTTGTAGAGCTGTGTAGTACTTCTGAGTCAAAGTCTTAAAGAGACCAGCATTACTGAGCTATGACTACTTGTTTTAATTCTGTTTGTGCTGTCATTCTGCAAAAAGGCTTCATATACTTTCCTTCAAAATTGATTCTTCATAGTTAGCTATATACTGAGGCACATAAACACCCTTTGTATTCACCCTTCATATTTACCAGCTCCTAGAAAGGTCTCCGTTTCAAAGTTATCGGCAAGATGCCAGCTGTGACCATGTAGTCACCGCTGTGCAGCAGGCGAGACGAGTAAGTCCCCTGCATGAACATGTACAGATTCATTTTGCTGAGACACCCCTGGGTACTTAAGGAACACGTAGCCACCATGCGAAGAGTTACCTTCCTCAAACCACACCCACTGTTTTGGTTGTTGCTGAAATAGGAACTCTGGGGGCCAAAACCACAAATACAAGAGGGTAGATTTATGTTGAAATGTTGTTTCACAAAGACCATTCGAAATAAATCTAGCTGCATTGCAAATATCACATTAATATTCTGTTTTATGACCTGCAGATCATAAAAAGTTTTCTCTAAGTACCTTGACAGCATGCTTTTTAAAGTGATGTTTTGAGTGTTCATGTTTTTTAACCATTATAGAATTGAAATAAGTCTTTAAACAAGTTCAAAGTTGTCTGATATGCAGTAGTTTTCAAGCATTTTACACTGTCTGGTATATTACCAGAACTGAGAGCTAATTAGACAGTATTCTAAAATAGTTTAAAAACAAGTGAAATTGTATCTTTTTCTCCTCATTAAGGGCACTATCAATACAAAAGGTGTCCAAACTGACACTACAGAGCTGTGAAGCAGTTGGCTGGAGAGACAGTGTCCTCAAACGAGTCTGTATTTTTTTCTACCCTATGCAATCATATACATTAATTATCAAAACGTTGGATAATTTGCTTTAAGAAAAGAACCCACCTTAAAAATGGATCATGAGTATTGACAAATACTTTTAGTTCATTTTACTGATTAAGATTCAAGTTTCAATGTAAAAATGCTTACTCTCATACGATACTGAGCAAGAAAATATTTCATTTTCTTAAAGTTAAATGGACAATTAAAACTGTGGCTACTAGTGAAGTAAATAAAGGGTTCATAAAGGCCATAGGAAACTTTACAAAACTAAAATGGGAAATCTCACTTTCAGGATGACAGTGTGTTGTCCACTGAAATGTTTTAGTAAACTGTTGAGACTGTTTCAAAAGACAGTGCTGGGCAGTTTCATTTGAATAGCCAAAACTCTTTTTTTTTTCTACTGAAAAAGTTATTTTGCATCTCTGCAAAACAAACAAAACAGGAGCGAAAAACATACACACTAGGACTGAAGTACAGATGAAGGCAAAGTTTTGTTACAAACCTGTTTCAACATACAGTGAGAAATGTCCATTGTACAAAACTCAGTGACTGACCTACGATTGATTTAAGATTATCCCAGCAATGCAAATACAACTCGGAACAGCTCAATTGTGAAAGATTTTGCAATAGTACTACGGTGGGAGACCACTGAGGGTTTTTTTGAAGTAGTTTGGGTTACAGTATCTCTTTTCATTGAAGCCTGCATTTGTACTTTAAGTATTCGCGCGTTACAAGTCTGCTACATACTTAATCCTTCAACACAGTGAAGTACTCCTTGATGTTCTCTCATCTGTCTCCTAGCAGCTTTCCTTTAGCAAGAGGCTGGGTTGAGCAGCTGCTCCTGTTGAAAACACTGTTGTCAGTCTCCTTGCAGGGGATGCTCTAGTAAGAAACATCTGGCAGTATCCAGCATTGAAAATACTGTCAGCTGCGGTGCCTAACCAAACCTGGAAAACCAAATTTGCATTTCTGGACTGGTATTACACTTTGTGCCCAGGAGGTTGTTTAAGAGCATTGTAAGTAAAAATCCATAAACATTAACAGTAATGTTTCCACTTTATTGGAGGAAGGGGTAAGGGGGTGGCAATAATCAGTGTAAGTTACTAGTTTTTAAAGTTTAGTCTATGTTATATTTGATTACTGGGATATCAATACAATGAAAGTGGAGGAATTTCAACAGTAATTTTGAAGTAGTTTTAGTACATCATGTTGTGCAGGCTTTATAAAAGATTTTTGTTTCCAAAGATGTTATTGGGGTCCACATATTCTTTAACAGATTTCAGCATTCCCAGGCCAACATCAGAAATGCTCTCCTTCATCCAGCGCTTCCGCAATTTGCCTACTGGAAAAACAAAAACAAAGTGTTTCAATATATGGCAGGATTCTAGGAGCCAATCAATCTTGTGACCATGAATGAATAAACACTGTGTGATAAATGCTTTTATTCAAAAATGAGAAATGTTTTGCTTTATTTGATTTATTGAGCCCACCAGACTATCAAGCTCATTAAGCTCAGCATACTCCCAGAGGAAGACTGTGTTCCACACTGTCTACTTTCTTTAGAAACTATGAAATTTAGATGAAGCTTAGGCTGAAATCACACGTTCTATTAAAATAGGGAATTGGTAGTGAGTTTTTAAAAGCTACCAAACTCATTTTAAGTAGGAAACTGAAGAGGAGGTTACTAAAAAGCAGAACTCCACAGCTTTTGATTGCTTTAAAGTAAAAACATAACTCGGTAATCAAATAAACTTAAAACAATATTCGTTTAAACAGCAAAAAAATGTTTTCTAAGGAGAAGGCTTAAAGCTTAGTTTTAAATCAACAAAATACCTTCTTTCATTCAAAAATTCTTACACAGACTGGCAATTGCTCATATCATTACACAAGAGCTTAACTTCCCATGTCAAAACGGATATTCAAAACATATACCAAATACTGAAGCTTATTTCAGCTTTCAAAGCTGAAACCCCAGCCATTTAAGAACTCATTTCACTGAAATCTCACATAGTCCTGTTAAATGGCCGAATGTTCACATACTAATTAACCAAGTCATCAACTCTGATTTAACAGATCATTCAAAATAAAGGACAGTTTTTTCATTAAACACACTATAGCATTTAACTTGTCAACCTGAAACACAATCCATTTGTCAGCATGATGCAATATAGTAAAGGTTTGAGAGACAGATGCTTTAAGAGTATCTGAAGCTAAATTCAAGCCATCTTTTGTGCCCTGTTCTCAGGGTAACCATCAAACTGTCATCAGAATAATAAATTACAGGGACACCTCTGGAGAACAGAGTGTATTTGTTTATACCTTAAGGAATATGAGCTAGTCACAATGCCATCTGAAAAAGCAAATTCTGTGAGAAAGAATGAAATTCGCAGTTTGCTAGAAAACAACTATTAGGAACATGCACGTCAAGAGCAAAGATCATAACTGAAGGACAAAATAATTTGTCATGTGGTAGGAGCTGTGTTTTGCAGCCCAGCTCAAGAAGCAAATCCCCATCTGTAAGTATACCGTCATTACAATTTGACTGTCTGAGCAAGTTGATGTAGTTGAGTTTTACCTGGGGATACTTTAACGCTACTACTACAAAAAAAGAACCAGAATCAGGGATGTGGCTTGACCATCACCTCAAGTCACTCTCACTGGCTCTTAGCGCAGGCAGCTGATGAACGGTCATTACCATTCTCAACTGTTATCTGTAATATAGTTTCAATGAATGTGTCCTGTGGTTATAGATGTAATTGTCCTGAAAAGACTGCAAACAACTGCTCCAACAAGATGGAGCACATTAGAATCACAGCAGGATGCCCAACAGCCAGCATGCCTGCCTCTTTTACACCTCCAGTAATAATGCAATTCCAGGAGGAACTGAACTACTGTCTGAGCAGCACCAAGCAGTCGTTGCATATTTAATGAAGTCGCTCACCAAGTGCTGGAAAACAGAAGGTGCTGGGAGTGCATCATTAGTTCTGTCAATGTGATAATTTACACATCTATCTTGTCAAATTTTCCATGGTTTATACTTTTGCAATAATAAATCTAACATACATTTGATTAGTGAACTGGAAAGAAAAAAAGCTGTACTATAGTTACCGGCAGCCCTTCACAAACATGTTCAACAAAAATATTTTAACCCCTTGATTACAGCAAGTTGAACCCATGCTCCTACTGCTCATGTCAATACAGACACACATGAATTTTTCAGCTACTCAGGTTTTCATTTCAGAGTTAAAATTGTTGAAGTGATCTTGCTCTTAGAATCCTAAACTGGTCTGATTACATGGAAAATAGACTCAGTGAAGGAAAGGCTTTCTGCAGACGAGAGCACCGCTTAGAAAAACAATGTTTATATTTGTTTCACTTCAAGTTAGTACTGCCCTATAAGTATCCTGTTCTGCCTCCATAGGATGATCCAATTAGCTCCAAGGAAGGGAAAAGGAGGAGGAAAATGCTGTAACAGTAAAAGATGGTACCATGAACATAAAAGTAATTTCAAGTCGCAAAGGTACTTAACTCCACTCTAAGCTTAGCCAAAGAATAGCTGTGGGATCAAGGAAGCCCAAGAAAAAGTCTCAGTTAAGCCTGATCTTACCACGGACTAAAGAAAACCACCTTTCTGTTTTTAGCCTAGAGAAAGTAGACCTTTTTGTTTTAGGTCTAGATTATGCCATTTCTATATAACTGACATGAGACAGGGCACAGAACCAGAGCATCTAACACTTAAGGGCTCTCATCCCCATTAAAAACTGAGATCAAATTCACCTGATTTTATATGCCACATTGTAACATTGTTAATAAGATTCTGAAATCAGCATAACATCATACAATCAATTTTTAGTAGCTTAACAAGTCACTACTTGTCAACTTGGCTATTTAAGTTTTATCATCATTATAGTCCATGTATGAAAGAAAAACATGCGAGCTGGATAAGTAACTTTTCACAGTTGTGATACATGCTGCTCCAGCCCTTAGCTTAGCCCTTCATTTAAAATGTTCTTGTTAATGCTTCCTTTCAACTTGTAAGGGAATAAAACACATTTTGGTGAAGTCCAACCATGCTCTACACTGCTCCTGTAGAGCCCATCCTTTGAAAAAAACACCAAACAAGCACTGACGTTGCATTCTCTGCTAAAAGTGACAACAGTTTCCCACGTGCATGGTTTTTCAAAGAGAAGTACTTTAGACAGACAGCACGTACTTGCTGGCCACAAAGAAGCTAAAATGGGAGTACAGCTCTCCTGGCTCATAAAGGCTAAATTGCTCATCTCTGAAAATGCATCAGGATGGCTGCAAAAAAATCTGGCTGCTATGGATGGAGCTGGCAAACAGCAGGCAGCGATTAGTTTTCTTGTTTTTGGAATATGAAGTACTCTGGTACCCATGAACAGCCTTTCAAGGAAAGTTTTAGTGTAGCTGATAACTCTAGCACCATGCAGAACAGATTTATTGCAGTGCATGGTCCCAGTGGAAGCAGGCTCTGGTGGCACTGCCCTACACTTCCTCTGCTCCAGCCCTTTTCACTTAGAGGCAGATATCGCAGAACGACAGCTCTGCCAAAGGAGAAGCAGTAACAGGTCATAAGAAGGATGGGACGTTTCCAGCTGTTGCATGGTCTTCCTGAAGCTGGTTCTCTCTATGGAAAGCATCTCTCCAGTCTTAGAAACTGCTTAACAGGTTATTACTCTTTCAGAGAGAACTCCGCAACACTGAGAAAGGTCAGTGCATTAATCTAACACTGTGGTAAAGCTGGAGTATATTGGACCAGTGTACCTGAAGTCTACTACATAATTAACACTCACCATCACCTTAACATCTGGCACTTTTTCCCTTGATAGCTAAACAACTTAAGTACTTTCAAGTTCTGTGTTGATGAATCAGAAAGCCCTTTGCATTTATTTGGTGGAAAAGGCACTAAAGATGACTATTCTATTAAGGCTTTCAACAGACCAAGGAGGCAAATACAATTGCATTATTATATTGTTTCACATAAGGTTACTCTTTATCTGACAACTGTCACAGTTTAAACTCCTCATTCAAAACCAGAGCTTGCTGGACTGATGAAAGTATGATCAGCCTCCAGTGTTTAACTTGAAGGTTTCCGATGTAAAAGATAAAAGAATTTGTTCAACTCCTCCCACAAGGGAATTTTATAATTCCAGATTCTGTAGTTTGTGTGGGTTCATTACTGCAGTGCATAGCTTAAACCACAGCCTCTTAATGATGTCAAAGAATTGTTTTAGATTGCGATGTCAAACATGCAACTGAATAAGGTGGGGGCTTTGGGGAGAAGGGGGTTGGGGTTTTTCGTTTGTTTTTAAGTTTTCCTATATGAACTGGCAGGAAATCAATAGTATACCTAAACCTGCAAAGCCTGGCCTACATTAACCTTTACTTTAGTCAATCTGTCTAGAAGTGGGAGAAAATTAGCTCTATTATGTTAAGTGGCTAAATGGAGGTATTTTCCTCAAACACACAAGCTGATAATTGTTTCCTTAAACAACCAGGTTTTAGTTAAAATATTCCCTGCAAGGGAAACAATCTATCATTTTTTACAGAGTTTCTTAGTTCTACATGGGTGCATAGCTTGGTAATACAGAAGGGATCAGGCCCAAATCCAGCCAGCTCTCTTCTGATGCTGTACCCCAAAGATGCTATAGTTTTATTTATATACCACTCATAGCCACTGACACTTCTCACAGCACATCTTACTTTATGTATAAGAAAAAGCATGTATTTATGAACTAGAATTTCAAGAACGCAAGCTGTGACTTGCCCTAAATGATCAGAAGAATAATTTACCTAAACTTAAACTTTTATCTACATGAAATTGTCATTCCTAACCCTGCTTTTTAAATGCTAAGTTTCTGGAAGCTAACTGTGGCTCTAGCAACCGTTACTTACATGACTGTCAAGTCTAAAGATACTGGCCAGAAAAGCAGAAGGATCAAAGCTGTGTTCAAAGCTGTGCACTATCCCTTTCTGAGTGCAGGACATAGTCGAGGCAAGGTGAAAAGTATCATCAAGACTGCAAAATCTTATGTTGGAAATGAAGACGCTGAATGCCACAACTAGGATATGTAATTTCTGAATATATTTCAGAAATTTTACTGAAGTTACAAATTATGTCATAGCATTAGTTAAAAGGGACAAGGAAGGGAAAAGAAATCGCTTCAAAGTCATGCATTAAAAACTACTTTAAAACCACCAGGAACCTTTTCAACATTTATTTTCACAACAGATTGAGTGAGAAACAGACCTACCACATTTAGACAGGAGTGCCAGATCATAAAGATGTCTGATAACCTCTACAAGGATCAATTTTTGATGCACTGGAGAATGGCTGAATTTACCCTCCATAAGAAGCACCTATCTGATCAGGAATGTATTTTGGGTGTATTTTTATAGCAACACATATGCCTCTGATTCTTTCTAAATGTAAATTCTGTCCATTACATAATCCAGAAACATTGTCAAATGTTAAATACTAACTTTAAAGTAGGAAAAACATTCCTAATGCTTACCAATTAGATTTAAATATTTGAAAAATCAAGAGTGAGAAAGACTTCAAAAAGAAAAGACAGTTTGATTAAAAGGACCAAGTTGTTTAAGTTGCAGTGTCATAGAAATGATATCCAGATTTATAAAAAACAAAAAATCTGGATATTCTACCCCAAAATACAAGTAATTGTTACATTGAAAGGATAAATTAATTATGTAGATGTGTATGTCTGGCTTTACTACAGCTTCTCGTGTCCATGAGATGTATAAAGGTGGTATTGAGATATTTCTGCAATTTCTTTGTTGGAATGTTCTTGTGATCTTTAATGTAATCACCTGACAGTTACACTTCTTACAGGTTAAGTCTCAAAAGTCATCGGAGGGGACCTTCTCACAGTATTGCTGCCTTTAGTGACTCTTGCCTAAAAGTTACAGTATTTTTCAGTAGCCTGGAGGGAGGGGAGGAGAGAAAAAAAAATACTGAGATCAAATAGAATACAAAGTTTTCCTGAAGTTACTCTTCATAAAGTTAAAAGTATCATGATTTCAGTTCTCACTGTACATTGTAGCTATGTGTCTACCTGCATCTAGTACCACCTCAGAAGTAATTTAGAGCATTACAAATCTCAAACTGTCATGTATGACCACTTCTTCACTCAAGGAGTATATGAAGATTGACTTAAACAGGCTTTGTGTTTCCTATAGCCTCAAGTCCCAGACTACATCTGTTTTCTTTGATACACAAAACCAGAGTTAAAATAGCTCCATTTATCACAGTGTGATTGTAGGCAGACAAACCAGCCTGTCTGTTTCCAGATAGTGAAAACAACTGTTATTAATCACAACTACAAGACAAATACTAAAAGAAATTGCACCAGTATTTTCTTTTACCCTACACAATAGACCATTCTTAGCAGCGCTAAGAGCGACACGGCCTGAAGGTCAGTAAAAAGAACTGGTACTATTAGGCTAACTCTCAGCAGCACATCCCTAAGCACTGGAAAAGATGGATCTTCAATATCGTACACAGTGAACTGCCACACAAGAACACTCAAAGCGGAAAATATTTATAAGAGGCAATCACGCATACAACAGGAGCCTAAGAAGTCTAACAAAAAACAAGTTTGCCATAGCTGGGGAGTCAGAAAGTTCAAGCGTGCAAGGGTCTGAAAATGCTACCTTTTTTTCCTTGTTCAACATATGCTGTAAGCAAGGTTTCATATGGTGAGGGCAAATACATCTAAACATGTGACAAGCTCCAGCTGCACGCAAGTTAATGGATGAAATGCCAGTCACAGTAAAATACTGCTGCCACAGCAGGAGACAGCACAACAAGGGGGTAATTCCACATCCCATGTGTGATAATTGGCCAGTCCACTATACCACCACGTTAAAGATTTAATCAGAGGACAATAAGAGCATATTAAACAAAAAATACCAGAACCATTTTCTATCATCATCTACACATCTTTCAATATCCTGATATTGCTAAAGCAGAGTCCATTTCAGTTTCTATCACAAAGCTAGATACCTGAAAATGGCTGTAGCTAAAAGTTTTAAGTCCAGGAAGTCACAAATATGTTTTAAAGCACAGTTTTGGCCTTCAGTTTTCCGCACACAGAGCTTTCTTAGAAGTACAACATTTTTATCTAGCTTTAAACCATTAGATTTCTTCCTCTTTGCTCTTACTTCTGTGGCCAGACAATACCCCAAGACAGTAGAGAGAAGAAATGCATTAACTTAACCAGTTTAAATCAAAATTATTCACAGAAAGTCTTCCTGACATCCAAGTTAAGAGCATAGGACACATACAATCATGTGATTTGACATCCAAGCAAACCAGGTCTAGGGACACTTCCCCAGAGGTCTGGCAAACAGGTGAGAAGTTTCTAGAAAGAATGCCAGGAGATACCTGCCCCCTGGCCCCAGTAATTTTGGTTAATGTCTGTGAAATATTTTTCAAAGTTCTATTAGAAGCTATTTTATGTACTCAGGAGTATTTAGCAGTATTGAAGAGGCTAATACTAGACTGAGAACATTACCTCCATGATGATGTGACAGACTTCCTCCATTGGCAAGTATTTCTTCTCTAGCAGCCCTCTAAATTGGAAAGATAATGTATTTATTCAACAGGAAATGCACAAGATGTTCGTGCATTTCACAAGCACATGAAACATTTACACAGCATACGAGACATTTACACAAGCATATGAAAAGTTTCAGAAGTAATTAGCGCATACAATACAGCTAAGCATTTTCATTCAAATATGCAGATAAATGCCAGTGAGGATTTTCCAAATAAACATTAAAGCCAAGACGTTTAAAATGGCATTTGTTACAACAACTCTTATTATATTCCAGAATAGAATATTCTGGATCACTTCCCCTCTGCCAAAACTAAAATAGTCTAGTGGCTGGGATGCTTATCTGGAAGATGGCTAAGTGCCTATTGAAAAGGGCACAAATCGCAATAATCAGGTTTGAAAACAGGCTCCCTAGAGTGATTTAAGATCCTTATTCAGAACAGAGCTCACACCCAGATCTCCAAGATTCTAGTCAGGGAAGTGAGGTACTTCACAACTGACAGCTCTTTCATGAGTGAAGTTTGTGGCAGAAAACAAAGTGTGGATTTTCATTAAGAAGTATCTGAACACTTTCAAGCTCTAGAATCTTCTTTCCCATCCAGCTCTGATTACAAATAGCTAGACAGCCTACAAGGCTGTCCTAAGCACAAGCACTAAATGTCTTTTCAAAAAAGCGTACTTTTTTAGGAATAATGTATATAACCATACCAATGCAGTTACAGATTTTTTCAGTCTGCCACAGAGTGCATATACTTGGCTGGCAAACTCACTTTGCTAGGGTAAATTTAGTCAGCTACAATGGAACACATGCACCTGGGTAATCACACTGCTAATTCCAATAAATGGTAATATGTAAGCACTACAGTTTCATTAAATAAGCATTTAAGTATTACATTCTCCACTGCCCTAGATTCAACAGCACAGCAGTCTCAGAACTTGTAGATAAAACTTTACATCTACTTGCTAAGTTAAAGAGAAATTTCTAAAGATTAAGCATGAGAAGAATGATATCCTAGTTACAAATACGGACTATTTCTCCACAGTCTGATTAGGTGCTGAAGCTTATGAAGCAAAAAGTAGGCTGAAAAGCAGTTTTCCTTCAATGTCTAAGTATTACATCTTTAAGGTAACAAGGATATTCGTTTCCCCTAACGAGGTAGCTATAGTGTTGCAACCAGCCAAAGCGTTAAAGCAGAGAGTTATTCCAGAGTTTCTTGATAATTGTTGAAGCAGCTTAAAACTGGCCTTACACAGCTGATTTAGACCAGCACTTATCTAGGCCTAAGCAGAAATAACCACAGCAGTTAATTCTCTGAAACTGTGAGAAAGACCCTCACATTCATTATTCTCCATACATATCACTATTAAAAAATATTATCTTGATAGTATTACCATGTATTTTATAGATTGAGTATTAAGTAAAGGAAGTAGCTTTGTAAATAATGGAACTAAAGAAGTCTCTTGTTTCTCATGGATTTCAGTTTTGTAGTTGATAATTTCTTCCATCCAGGAACAAACTCCAGTTCAAGCTTTCCTGTACTTTAGTGATGTCTAAAATAGTCACCTTGCAGACTTCCCTCTGTTTGGCATGCTATTAGTGCACACATCTTTC